ACCAGCTGTGTGACCCCGGGCGGGGTCAGTAATCTTCCAGGCCTCAGTTTCCCCTCTGCAAGCTGGGGGTGATGATGATAACGAGAGTACTGTCTCAAGGGGTTGTAGGAAAGATTGAATGAATTAACGTGCAAGCACTGAGAATAGGGTTCACTGTCCCCTCCCCCCAGGAAATGACACCACCGCCATCCCAGTTCCTAAGCCAAAAACGTAGGGATCATCCTGGCTTCCGCTCTGTGCGTGTGCGGTGTGTGTAAAAAGAAAGAGTGAAAGCCCTGTTGACTCAGCTTCCAAAACGTGTCCCCAAGTTCATCGGCTTCTCTCCATCTGTGCGGACACAGCCACATCAGTGCTCCCCTGACAACTGAGCTGCCTCCAGCTGGGTCCCTGAGCACTGGCCCCAACCCGCCCTCCATGTCGCAATCAGAAGCACCATTTACTTAAGAGACTTAAACTCTACCCGTCCTTTCCTTTCTCTTTTTAACTTTTGATGGTGGAAATTGCCAGACACACACAAACATAGAGAGGACAGGATATCAGACCGATGGACCCACCAACCACCTCCAACGGCCAGCATAGGAACCATCTGCTGTGCCTCCCCGGTCCCCTCCCCTCGGGCCCCCCAGACAGCACACCACTTCATCTGTAAATACTTCCGTGCAATGAAATAACTTTTAAACTCTAAGTCAGATGATGTTGTCCCTCTGCTTAAAACCCTCCTGGGCCTCCACCTCCTCACCCTGCTCCACGCAGGCCCGTGTCCCTGCTCCCGGCCTGGCCTGTCTCTTCCACTCCCCGCCCCCCCCCCCCCCCCCCCCCCCGCCCTTCTGCTGCCCACACCCGCAGGGCTTCTCTCTGTCCTGCGGCTCCGGCTCCGCGTTGGCTGGTCCCTCTGCCCGGATCCCCCATTTCCCTGACTGTTCATGAGTGCCTCCCACTGGCCACACATGCTCTCAGTCCACGTGTCGTGATTGTTTTCCTAATCGCAGGGAGAAACCATGGGCGGGATCTAGGCGGGGGAGTGTTAAGATCTGGCTTATGTTTTTAAAATGTCCTCTGGCTGCTGAGTGGAGGACAAGTTGCGGGCAGGGGTGGGGGAGCAGGAAGATGTAGTCTGAGATAGTTAAATGAGATGCTAGCTCGAAGGCGCTTGAACCTGGTGCATAGTAAGTGCTCAAAAAATATCAGCTAGTCTCTCTTCCCGTGCTGGATAAAGTTTGGTCCCCCTGTTTTCAAGCAAAGTTGTAGATGGAAAAATTGCGGCTGAGGGCGGACTTGGCTTGTCAGTTCTGGACAGAAGCTGAGGGGCCCGTGAGTTTCCCACATTCTCCTTGAACTTGTGACTTCCCTCTGGCAAGGAGACAGTGACAGGCACAAAGGATAGAATTCCATCTAGAATGTTCCCTCCCACAGCAGAAGAGACCTGGTCTAGGAACACCAAATGGGCGGGAAGAATTCCATGGTGGGGGAACCAGGAAGCTGCCTGGTGCCCGGGGAGCTGGGCTGGAGGGTTCCCCAGGGCAAGTTGGGGGTGGGTGAGCATGGCGGGGTGGAGGGCACCTCACCCAGGGGGAGGGAGGGAGGCGGGAGGGAGCCTCGGCCGCCAGGGGGAGCCCTTGGACTTCCTTCGCCTGAGGATGCAGGCCTGTCCCAGAGGAAACCAGCTGTGTGCCCGGTGTTCCGAGGGGCCCCCGGCGGCCTGTGCTCTGGCTCCACGGCCAACATCTGCAGAGAGACAGACAGACCTGGAGTGAATCCTGTCCTGCCACTCGCTTGGAGGGTGACCTTGGGCAAGCGGCTTGGTCTTCCTGTGCCTGGATTTACTCAGGGGCCAAGCCCCAAATCTGAGTCTCACTTCCACCTTGGCTTTCTGGAACCTTCCATTCAGACTCTCACCCATCGGATGGGGACCCCACTCCTCCCGTGTGCCAGTGTTGCTCTGGGCACTGAACCAACCACAGCCGCTGCTGCTGGAGCAAAGCACCCAGGAGAGAGAGGCTGTGAGTCCCCTCCACCAGGCAGCCCTCCCTGAGCCCCCAGGCGGGTCAGGTGCCTTCCGTGTGCCCACCTCGTACCTTCTTCATTGTGCTCCTCATGTCCCACCCACCACACCACGAGTTCCTGAGGGTCAGGGGCGGGCAGCTTCATCTCTGAATCCCCAGTTGGCTGGCAAACAATGGGCTCAACAGACGCCTGAGAAACTGATGCCGAATGGGACTTTCCTGCAGGCCAGAACAGCTGCCCAGCTCATGCAGTCTGGAGGCCTCCAGGGCAGGGGACAGGCCGGGCTCAGACCTGCGGCCCCCCGGATCTGGACAGGCCTGCATGGAAGGGCTCTCCGTGCTCGCCATCTCCTGGGCTTTCTTGAGACGGGCTCTGTCCCTCGTGCTCCTCAGCCAGCACCCACTGGAAGGGTCGGCCCTGGCCTGGAATGCCAGGCAGAGCACTGTGGCCTTTCTCCCGGGAAGGGCTCTTGGCAGGAATGGTGGGCTCAGGTTTCTGTTTGAGGGGTGCCTGGCTGCAGGGTGGGGGACAGCTGGGTCAGAGCTGGCAGTGGGTGGCAGAACCCCAGGCAGGGGGGAGTGGCCCCCTAAAAGGAATATTTAGGGTGGTCGACTGGCCTCAAGGATGGAGCATGGGTTTCTAGCTCAGGTAAGCAATGATGCCATTGGTTTTAGGAAGAACCCTTAGGGCCACACACAATCTCGCGGCCGACGCTGAGCTCGGCCTTGGATGTTAGGAATTTGTGGCCCACCAGGGGAGCCAAAATGACAGTGGCTGGTGGGGAATGGGACCCCCAGGGAGGGAGGTGGAGGGGATGAAAGGACCTGGAGTCCCTGTCTAGGGCAGGGGGACAGGCAGGCCCTGGGACACCCCACAGCCCTGTTCCTTGATGTGGGAGTGTCAGGCAGAGGTCCCTGGTCACAAGCTGAGGAGGAAAGCCAGCCCTGGGGGTTGCCCCTTGCCCTATCTCCCCGGAATGGAAAAAAGGCACCCAGTGTGTGGGAACATCCTCTGAGGCCTGGGTCCAGGGCTCTGGCTCTCTTGGGTGAGACCCAATCAGCCAAGGTGTGGGGCTGTCTGTTCACAGGCCAGGCCCAGCCCAGGCCACCGGGGTGACGATGGTGGAGGAGGAAACGGCACCGTCTCAAGCCCCCCGGCTCTCCTCCCTGGTACGCAGAGCTGCCTGTCCCTCAGACTCGAGGACAATGCTGCAAGCTGGCCTGGAGCCCAGGACAGGGAAGGTGACACCTCCCTAGCCACGGCAGGGCCAGCACCTGTGATCACGCGCGCCCATGGGCTCAGGTGTGTGACGGTGTCCACTAGGGAAGAGAGAGACAAAAGGACACAGGCTGGTTGGAGCCCAGCTGTGGGGACACACAGCATGGCTCAGAGACAGGCCAAGGCTTGAGGAAGGAAAGGGGGCTGCTGGGCCTGCCGGACCAACCAGTGAGGAAGGACAGGTGAGGCCACCCCGGACAGAGCCAGCAGACAGGTGAGGGCCGTGCGGAGGCTCTGATCCTCTCCGCGTGCTCTGTGTATTTCTCCACCCTCGGCTCTTATATTATTTCAAACAGTTTGGGAGTTCACTATCTTTGTCTTTTATTAGGGGTCATTTGAAATCTTTTCCAGGGGAGGCAGAATTTAAGAGAAGCTGGAGGGGCCGGCCCCGTGGCAGGGTGGTTAAGTTGGCACACTGCTTCAGCGGCCCAGGGTTTCACGGGTTCAGATCCTGGGTGTGGACCCAGCGCTGCTCATCAGGCCATGCTGAGGCTTCATCCGACATGGCACAACCAGAAGGGGATGCAACTAGAATATACAACTATGTACTGGGGGGTTTGGGGAGAAGTAGAAGAAAAAAAAAGATTGGCAACAGATGTTTGCTCAGGTGCCAATCTTTAAAAAAAAAAAAAAAAAAAAAAGCAGCAGCTGGACACCCAGCCTGGCTCAGGGAGATCTCGGTGATGGAGAAACGGGACTCCAGACAAAAACGGCCTCTTCCCCAGGGTTGAGAGCAGCTGAGAAGCAAGAGTCGACTCCTCTGCCTGATTTGGGCCAGGCACCATGCTGTGGGTCTGTGACAGATGTTACTGTCTCCCCACTTCACGGAGGAAGAAACTGAGCCCAGAACATCCCACACTTGCTCCAGGTCATACAGATAGCAGCTGCACACCCGGCCTGGGAACACGGCTTTAGGTGTCTGCCTACCTGCTCTCTGGCCGTAAGGTCAAGCTCACCGGGCAGGTGGTAAAGCAAAGCAGGTAAAGAGCTGGGTTTAATCTTGACTCTAGCCCTTAGTGGGTGTTACGTCTTTTCTGTGCCTCAGTGGCCCTGCCTTTAAAATGATCTCCTGAGGTCGAGGGAGCCTAAATGAGTCACATGCATTAAGTATAGGACAACAGTTGGCACATGACAAGCGCAGTGTTGGCTCTGAGGGCTGTTTGGGACACGGGGCCTGGAACCCAGGGCAACCGTCCTGCTAGGGAGAGAGGGCGGTGGGCTCGCTCGGGCCTGGGGCTCCCCGGGGCTCCAGGGTGACCTGGGGCAAGGTGCTAGCAATGACCATCCCGCCGCGTGACCCTGTTGGGTTTCCGTGAGGCGAGTGCACAGCCTGAGCTGTGCAGGGTCACGGAGAGCTCAGTCTGAGCAGGTCCAGGCTGATCCGGCTATACCGTGTGCTCACGTGTGGTTTATGTTGGATCCAGCTCCTTCATGCCCAAATCGGGCTCACCACCTAACAGTCCAGAAAAAGGCGGGTCAGAGGAGGGGCTCCGTGTCCACGTGGGCCAGAGACCCCCAGGCTGGAGCTCTCCCGTCGAGGGCACAGCAGGGCTGGGCATAAGAGCGAAGCCCGGGAAAGCAGCCCAGACCCCATGGACCCCCAGGGCCTTGCGTTGGATTAACATTCACAAAGACAAACTCCATCACACGCATCTCGAAATTTCTCCCCAGCACGATGGTGGGCAGGACAAGGCCGACACAAATGGGGAGACACGGCCTGAAGGGGGAAAGCGGTCATTGCTTTAATTCTGGTCGGGAGCCACACCCGCCGCCCGCCCCGAGGCGGAATCGCCACCTGCCCCGGCAATGCGCTCGTTTACAAAAATAATTATGAAAAAAGCAGCGACTCTTTAGTGATCATGGAATTAAAAGGACAGCAATGAAACATGTTTAAGCATCTGGCCTATCTCCTAAATTGCACCAAAGAATTCGGAAGCACTTAGTTTGGTCTCAGGGGCAGAATGGGAGGAGGGACGGGCCAGCCGTCCAGGGCCCGCCAGAGCCCGCGGGCCGCCCCTCCTACATTTCTGAGTCTGCGTACATGCCGTTGATGAGATAGTCCACCTGCGTGTAGTCCTTTTTCTTGTAGCTCTCGTAGGCTTGCAGGGCGAACAGAACCAAGACAGTGATGAACAGGGTCACCCCAAACAGCAGCACGGCCAACAGCAGACTTTTGTTCACCGAGGATAGGGTGAGGGGCTTGGTGGAGACCACCAAGTACTGGCCTTGGGTGCTGAGCTGGCACGAGTCCGTGGCCGGCATCCTCGAGTCCCCTGAGCTCCCGGGCGTTGGCCCGGCAGACGCAGTACCAGGGGTGGATTCAGGCTCGACCTGCTCCGGTGTCTGGGGTGTGCCTGGCCCTGTGGGCCCCCGGGCAGACGGAGCAGTGCCTGGCTGTGTCATGGAAGACGTGGCCTCCACCTCAGGAGTGGGGCTCCTGTGAGGTACAGGTGCTGGCACTGTGCTGGCAGCTGGCTCCTCGGCTTGTGGCTTGGTGGTGGCTGTCACCGCTGTCACGGATGGAGGAGCCATGGAGGTGGGCGTGGGCTCTGCGGTGGCATTGGAGAGGGTGGGTGTGGGCCTGCTTGTTGTGTCAGCCACAGGCCCGGTTGTCGACGCCGGGATGCTGGGGCCTTGTGTGGACACGTTAGGGGCGTGGGGACTCAAGGAGGACACAGGGATGGCTGTGGAAGGGCCAGACGTGGGCTCAGGACTGTGCGTGCCCTGCGGGCTGAGCATCCCTGCCGTGGTCACAGCAGCAGTCTGCGTGCCCATGGCCTGTGTTGTCAGAGTGGCTGCTCCTGGCGCTGTGCCGCTGCGGGATGCCTGAGCATGCGGGGTGCTCAGAGCAGCAGGGGCGGACGGGGCGGGCCCCGCAGACACAGCACTGGGCGGGCTGGGCACCCCGGAGGCTGCCCGGTCAGGGGTACCTTCTGCAGTCACCGGAGTGCCCACACCTGTCCTATGTGTTGTTGCTGCTGTGACTGCAGGAGAGGTGGGGTCAACCACCAAAGTCCCTTTGGTCAACGTGACAGGAGAAGGTGTCACCACAGTCATTCCTTCAGAAGTTTTATTAAAGACTCTCGAAATTGTTTCCTGAAACGTACTGTTGCCGACTGAATTTTCCAACATCCTGTTGAGGTCTACGGACCCTTGAAGTCAGAAGGAGAGAAAGACACAATCACTTTCAGTCCTGTGCAGGTGGGTCACTCGGCCATCGTCTGAATTCCCAGCCCGCCTCTCCTCTCGGCCCAGGGCGAAGGGAGGAGGGGACGTGCAAACACGTTTCCCTCTCAGCTTCTCACCGCACACGCCTGCCACTGCTCCTGGCACCTTGATTTTAAAACTCTGAAGCCCAAGCCCATCGAAGGCTTCAGAGCTTTACTCTTTGATTCAATTCTCCTAACATCAGAGTGAAAAATCTCACATCGCGGGTGTGATTCACCATTAAAAAAACCCCATCAAACACACACCCGGGTTGACAAAGCAGACAAATCGTCCCCCACATAGTGACACCACCACAAAAAGACTTCCTGGCTTTCTGAAAGGATGCGCAGGAGGAACTCCTGAGACGAACAGCGCCTGGCACAGAGTAGCAGTGCAATTAAACATCTGATGGATGAATGGACGCACTCCCCAGTGAAGACTGGGTTCACAGAAGAAAGGAAATTCTGCAGGGCCAGCCCAGTGAGCCTCTCAGGGCTCAGATGCCCGGTCCTGTTGGGGGCTCTGACCCACGCTGGCCCTGGAGAAGCTTGGCCTGACCACCCTTCCCAGCCCAGCAACCGGGGAGCTCCAGGGCTCCTGAATCACCGGCCTGGCTCACAGACACCCCTCAGGCTCAGGGTGCTTTGGGGCCACTGTGGGCCTGCCCAGTAATCACGCAGCTTTCCCTCACTTACGTGGCTCCTGGGATGTCGTTTGGCTTTCAGATAAGGACCAGGAGGAAATCCAAACAAGCACAAGGGCTGTCCACATCTTGCGGGTGAGCCGGGAGCCAGGCTGGGCGGTCCCTGAGGCTCCCAGCTAGCCGCTCCTCAGCCTCACAATTCCCTGCTGCTCGGCCAACGGATCTGTGCTCAAGAAAGAAGGTGCCTGGTCAGTAACGTACAGCCCTTCCTGGGGCCTGGGCCCTGGGCCCAGCCCTGTGCCTGCTTTGAGGGCTGCCAGGGTCCTGGGTGCAAACATAGGCCTGGTGTCCAGGGAGAGTGCACCGTGTCTCGGCCATGGCGGCTCAGCCATCAGCCCAGTGCCTGCAGCGGATGAGTTTAAAGCACTTCTTGCCCCAGTTCCACTATACGCCTCAACCTCCAGACGCGTTCACCGCCCCACCCTAGAGTTCAGAGTCTGAAAGAGCAGGAGAGAAGGGCCAAGGCCTTCCCAACACCAAGATCAGCCAAGTTTTCCTCCTGGACATTTCCCATGGTCTGCAGGATGCAAATCAGGCCTTATGCACTACTGTGCACCCTGTCACGGCTGATGACAACTTTCACAAGGGAGATGCCACTTAGCCAGCCAGTCATCGTCCATCCATCCATCACCCATCTATCTATCCACCCACCCCATCCGTCTATCCATCATCCATCCACCCATCCATCATCCACCTACCCACCCACCCTCCCATTCATCCAGTGTTTCCTGAGTGTCTGCTCACGTGCCAGGCAGCGCACCTAGGAGAAAAAGACGAAAGCCACACAAGTCCCTCCTCCAGGAGTTGGCCATCCAGCGGGAGACACAGAAAAGAGGTCACTGCAAGCGGGCGCAAGCGTGGAGCAGAGGCGTGACTCAGTGCTGGGAAGCAGGGAAGAGATGGCACCCTGGCAGGCTTTGAAGGGTAACTGGAGGCCAGTCCTCTGTGTGGAGCCCCCAAAGGTGGGGGGTGGAGGACAGGGTGCTGTAGAGGCCCAGAGGAGGCACTGAATTCAACCAGTGGGTGGGTGGGTGGGGGTGCCAGCGAAGGTTACCTGGGAAAGCGAGACCTGGGCCACGATCTGAACGATGGCTGGGATCTGCCTGGTGGAGAAGGGCTGAGGGAGGCGAGTGGGACAGAGCAGCAGATGCCAAGAGCAGGGCCGGAGGCCAAGGGACAGTACGGTGAGACCTGGAATTAGACTAGAGACAGGCGGGCCACCACAGGGCAGTTTGGATTGAGGGGGGCGGGGATGGGAGCCCCTGCAGGCCTGAGGCAGGGGTGTGACAAATGCAGGGAGATGCTCCAGCGGGAGGGGTAAGCGAGGGGGTGGGCATGAAAGGAGCCCAGCGACGAGGCAGGAGGGGACAAGGCTGGAGGAGGCTGAGGGACTCCATGAAGGGGTGCTCCTGTGAGAGACAGAGGGTGGGCTGAGAGGACCTGATTGCAGAAGCTGAGGTGTCGGCAGGGGCAACAGTGTGACTACAGAAACTTCCAGAGATGCCACCACGGCTGAGCCTCGGCAGGATGTGGACTGGGTTCAGCCAGAGCCAGTTTCCCAAGTGCACAGGGGTCTCCCCACACTCACCCCTGGTCCCTCCTGTAGGCCGGCAGGTGGGGGTCTCTTGCCACAGGAGTGCGATGGGGAGCTGAGGGGCCAGGTGGTCTCACACATCCCATCGCGTCATGCCCTGCTGGTCCTGGGTGCTCCCTGATCCTGTCCTCGGCCCCATCCAAGCCCCTGAATCCCATGAGGCTGCCTCGAGGCCCAGGCCCTCTCCGGACAATACCCCGGCCACATGCAGTCACGGTGAGCCCCCTAACTAAACACTCAACGGGTACAGGGCAGGCAGAGCACAGGCCTGCTGGGAGCCTGAGGGCAGGCGACGAGAATGGGACTCCTGAGGGGGCCTCCAAAATCAGTCCTGCCTGAAGACACCCCGGGCCTTCAGCCCTTCCACTGGCCCTCACGGGGAAGTTCCTATGTTCCACAGAACGTCACGGAGGGGAGCCCTCAAGTCACCCTGGATGAAGACGTCCTGAACAACGCCTCCGGGCCCAGACGCTGATTGCTGCTTCCGTGACCCTCGAGCCAGGCTGCCCCTGGTGACCCGGGCAGGCTTGCTGTCCTCCATCAGCCCTAACAGTCACCTCCATCCTGGCCCTGATCCCCCTCCCACCCCACAGCTGCCAGAAACATCCTTATACCCACAAAGCTGGCCGCCTCCACTGCTTAAACCCCTTACTATCCCAGGGTAACCCCGAAACTCCCTAACACGGCCGAGGCAGCCTTCAACATCCCGCCCCCGCCAGGCTCTCCCCGAGGCTCCCACCCGTCCCGGGCACGTGAAATACCTGCAGTGCCCAGCCCGGCGCCTGGCTTAGTCACAGCCGACCCCACAAAGCACTTCCAGCCCTGCTGGGAGCTACAGAGAAACAGCCCCTGTGCAGCATAAAGGGATGTCCAGAGGGAGGTCACCTGGTGCCTTTCTATCTCCTGTCAGTGGCCCATGACTGGAAAAACCCCTTTGAGCACAAATGCTTCTGGAAGGCTGGCACATATTCCCTGATGCTTCCGATCCCTTTCCAAGAGTCACCAGCTTTAGTCTAGCTTCAGGCCGCACTTGCCCTCCAAAATGGTCCTGGTGTCTTACAGGTTTAGAAAATTTACTCAGCCCTCCAAAGCATAGCTTTGCATCTGTTTTCTAGAATGCAAAAGGCATTCTTTGTTCTCGCAGAAACAAGTGGGGGTGGGGTGGGGCGAGAAGAAACAGACCAGTATCAAGAGAGGGAAGAACTGAGGCTGCAAGTTGTGAGGCACAGAGAACTCCCACTGGCCGTCAGCTGAAGCGATGCAGCTGGGCTCTCGGTGGAGACCGGGATTTCAGCGGCTCTCTTTGGCCAGTCACCTCTATGCCACCACCACTGAGCCCAACGTGCTCCTCGTGTCTGAGCCTGGATCTGGGGTCTGCTGGGGTGGGAGGTTGTGACGGGGGCTTCCTGAATGCCCCCCAGTCCTTAGGGCTTCCGCCACCCCCTCACTAGGGCAGGGTTGGCAAGCTTTTTCTGTAAAGAGCTAGACAGCAAATACTTTAGACTTTGTGGGCCACACGCTCCCTGTGTCAGTTACTCAGGGCTGCTGCTGTAGCGCACAAGCATCTGGGGACCACATGGAAATGATGGGTGTGGCTCTGTCCCAATAAAACTTTATTGACAAAAACAGGCAGCCGGCAGGACTTGGGCCACGGGCTGCAGTTTGCCAAGCCCTGCTCTAGCCCTTTAGTGAACTTCAGAGCTGTTGGAGGCAGGGAGGAACTGATCCAATGTGCTGAATGGATTTCCTCCTTCCCTTCCAGTTCCTCCCCCTGGAACAGACAGGGCCCATTTCGTTCCTGGTTCAAGGACAGCCTCCTCCACCCCCTGCATCAGTGGGATGCAGGCCCTCCGCCTGTGCAGCCAGAGGGGCTCCCACATGTACTTCGGAGTTACGACACAAGACCAAGAGAGAACCTCTGGTGGTGACTGGCACTTGTCATAGAAACAGAAGAGGACCACATGGTCCCCACCCCCTCCAGTCAGGGGACGATCCTCCTGGACTGCCTCCGGAGGCACCACCTCTGACGGTCAAGTGTCATAGACTGGGCCCCTCCTGGTTATGGAAGGCTTGGCCCTCGGGGCTTGCTGTCTTTCCCTTTTCCATGACCCTCCCTGACCCTGCAAAGCCCCCTCTCGGGGCTCCCTATCCCATCATCAAGCAGGTGCCCCACCCGCAGGGCCTCCAGGCTCACCAGAGGCAGCTGCTCAGGGCATGCCCCCAGGCTGGGCCATCTTCCTCCTTGGAGAGCGGCGGGCTGGGCACCGTGTCCTCGCCGGGGGAGGTCTGGCTTTGCAGGAGGTGACAGCAGTTTCGTGGAGGACTCCCAGGCCATGGCATGCTCTGTGGCACAGGTGGGACACAGGCAGATGCTCCACTCTGGTAACAGACGCATCTAGGGTTTGAAAGAGTAAACACTCCTTAGGCAGAGCATGGGGAGAACCCTCCAGGGAGGAGGGAGACACCAAGACAGCAGCATTCAATAGATCGTTATACTGGGAAATGACAATATGTACCGAAACTTGTCATGTGGCGCTCTTCTGCTGCTGGAATTTCTTCTAAGGAAGTAATTGGACGGATGTCCAAAGATAGAGATCTACAAAGATGTCCATCACGGCGTTATTTATAATACTGAAAAATTGGAATGCTTCCATAAACTATGGTCCCATCCATATATAAAACACTATGGCAACTGCTAAAAAATACACAAATTTCTATTTATTGACACGGGAAGATGCCCAGCATATATCATTAAGTGCAAAAAGCAGGTCATACACCAGTACACACGCCATGATCCAATTTTTGTTTAAATAGACGTGCGTCTAGAAAGATTTGTACCAGAATGTTAATAATGGTTATCCCTGAGGGATAGGAGTTACTGGTGAGTTCCATTTGCTACTTTATATCTTTGTTTCTTTTTTACAAGCATGTACCACTTTTGTAAAACATTTCTGAACGACTCCGATGAAAGAAAATGATGTCTGATTTTCTTCAAGTACTTTGACCTACCAGGCAGGCAGGCCCCGAGGAATCTCACTTGAGACAGTTTCACACGTAGATTTTAATAACTGAGAGAAATTTCACGATCTACATATCAGGAAACGCATTTTTCTACAGTCAAGCAAACCTTTAGAGGAATCCAGGAGTGCAATTGTAATGCAAAGAGGTTACCAGCACAAATGATTCTCTCACTGCCGAATTCTTAATCCAAACTCAGGAGAGTAAAGAAACAGCTCATCACCTCCTACAGGGGCAGATGCCAGCAGGTGGGGATGCCTGAGGACCACCCTGGGCCCACTCCCTAACACAATGCCCACAGGCGCGCACACACACACACACACGTGCACACTGCCACACACATACACATGCAGTCACACACACACATGTGTGCAATCACACTCACAGTTACAAACACAAAGGCAAGAGCACACAGGGAGCAGCTCCTTAAGTGTGTCAGGAAACCCTACAAGTGTTTCAGGAAACTTCTGCTGGATACCATCCCTGTTTCTGTGGTGATCGCTCCCACAGAAACAGGCAGTGGCTGCCGTGTGGAGTCCAGAACAGGCCCTCGCTGTGCCGTGAATTCATCTCTCTGGTATGGTCCTGCCTCTGCTTTCCAACAGCACACTCTTTTTTTTTTTTTAAGATTGGCACCTGAGCTAACATCTGTTGCCAATCTTTTTTTTCTCTTCTCCCCAAGGCCCCCCAGTACATAGTTGTGTATTCCAGTTGTGAGTGCCTCTGGTTGTGTTATGTGGGATGCCGTCTCAGCATGGCCCGATGAGCGGTGCCATGTCCACGCCTGGGATCTGAACCAGCGAAACCCTGGGCTGCCGAAGCAGAGCGCGTGAACTTAACCACATGGCCACGGGGCCAGCCCATCCAACAGCATATTCTAAATGTCAAGATTCACGTGTGGGGACCCACACTAATCTTTGTAAGTTGACGCACAACGGACAAATCATTAACAAGATTTAAAATAATAGTTTCCCCTGCAAAGGCTTCAGGGAGCCTTAAATGAGGGTCTGGCCAGTTATTCCCACTATTATCTGGAGCAGGAGACTGGGTGGATCAAGGCCTCAGACCATAATAGATGTAAAGGAAAGAGACCCCTGGGGCAGGAGGGGAACAAGGAAGAAAGAACCATTAGTATTAAGGGCGACATCAGCGCAGATGGACGCAGGAGGTTAGGCTGCGCTGGGAGGTCCCCCTGCCAATGGTCACCTCCCCACGAGTTCTGCAGGGACGGGGCAGCACCCCCTTGAGCCACGCAACACTCCATTAGGAAGGCACCCCCAGACTGCGGCCCTGGGCGCCAACTTCCTTCTCCTTTTCTGTTCCGGGACCTTGTGACGCCTCCGGACACCTCCTGTCTTCTTGTGTTCCCCACCTTGGCTTGGTTCTTAACTCTTTGATGAACCTGTTTGTTACACGCAGGGTGCTGTGTGCAAGTTACATGAAATCAGACTCCAAGTTGCCCAGTTCCTTTTTCTGGCTTAGACAGATTCCTCAGATCCAACACAAGTAATCCTCAGGCTTGGCAGGGGACTCCCAGGGTCACTCCCACATTCCAGCAGGCTAGTAATAATTTCTCTGCAGCAGTGTGGCCCAGGCCCCTACTCCAAGCTGGAGAAGCTATACGTACCGAGGAGTAAGAACGGCGGAAGCAGAAACAGGGCAAACCACAGATAGCTTATCTTGACACTTCACCTGGCTGAACTTTGGTATCAGAACACACGGAACACAAGTTTGTGGTCTTGTATATATAGATATCGTCCTGTGGTCCAAGGGATGGGTCCCCGAGACAGATGGGAACTAGGAGCACTGGGTGTCATCTTAATTACACTGTTTACTTCTAGGAAGTTTTGGTATCAAAGCTAAATGCTGATCAAGGGCGTAGTTTTTGCTGGCAATGTGGGTAAATTTCCTTTGTCCTATTAGGCAAGTCCAGCATATAAGCAGAAATTTTCTATTTTAAATACTTTCCTCATCATTTTTATTGAAACTTTAGAGACGCTTCCTCGGCGGGGGGGATAACTGCATGTTGTTGTACGCAGATTTCTAAGCACGATGTTTACGTCTTAAGGCAAACCAGGGGGATGGGGATTCCTCTTATCAGCCTAATAATTAATGGTACACACTAAGCAGCCATCCAGACTCACATGGAGGAGGCAGGCAGGTAGATGGAAATGCACAAGCTCCTCCTAGGAAGACAGGGCCTGGGTCACCTAAAGGGCCAACTCTTTCTTTGAGGGCAACGCTTCCTAGGGCCCAGTCTGGTCCTGGCCTCCTGGGAGATTTTTCAGTTCCCCACCCCTTCGGGAGTGTCCCAACTTTCCCATCCCCCGCTCCCAAACTGGGAACTGCCTGGGCCTCTTCTTCTCTGGTTTGGGATCCCCTTCAGCCTTCCTCCTGCCTCTCCAGTCCCCACCCATGCTCCTCCTGAGTCGAGTCTCAGCGCCCAACTGACTCCTTCCATTCCTTTCTCACCTTCTGTTCCTCACCTCCAGTCCTCATCCTCTTGCACTCTGTACCTCCATTCACCTCCTCTGCCTCTCCTGTCCACATGCACCGGCCTCTGCCTCTCCTGCCCCCATTCACCTCCTCTGTCCCTCCTGTCCCCATTCACCTCCTCCTCTGCCTCTTCTGTCCACATACACCCGCCTCTGCCTCTCCTGCCCCCATTCATCTCCTCTGTCCCTCCTGCCCCCATTCTCTTCCTCTGCCTCTGGGGCCCCCATTCACCTCCTCTGTCCCTCCTGCCCACATTCTCTTCCTCTGCCACTCGGGCCCCCATTCACCTCCTCCTCTGCCTCTCCTGCCCCCATTCACCTCCTCTGCCTCTCCTGCCCCCATTCATCTCCTCTGTCCCTCCTGCCCCCATTCTCTTCCTCTGCCTCTCGGGCCCCCATTCACCTCCTCTGTCCCTCCTGCCCACATTCTCTTCCTCTGCCTCTCGGGCCCCCATTCACCTCCTCTGTCCCTCCTGCCCACATTCACCCTCCTTCTGTCCCCAATCACTTCCTCTGCCTCTCCTACCCCCATTCACCTCCTCTGTCCCTTCTGCCCACATTCACCCTCCTTCTGTCCCCATTCACCTCCTCTGCCTCTCTAGCCCCCACTCACCTTCCTCCTGCCCCCTACCTCCCTCTCTCTGCCCCAAGCCAGTTCAGACAGCCGTGACAACAGCTCCCCGGACGGCAGCGCGGGTCCCTTACCGGGCGCGGCAGGCCTGCGGCGGCCCGGCGGCCCTCGCACGGCGGGGCAGCGCCCGCGGTCCGGTGTGGGGACGTGGCCGGCAGCGGAGCAGCGCGGACCGCAGCCAGCACGGCTCGGAGCTGCCACCCCAGCTGGGGCCCCGCCCGGTCCGCCCCGGAAGTGACGTCACGGGAGGGCGGGGCCGGGCGGCCGCGGCCGGAGTCGGGAACGGCCCGGCGGTGCCTGGCTCCGCCAGCTGCGAGCCGGAAGCTGGGGGCGTGGCCGAGCTCAGGCCCCGCCCACCGCGGGGCGGCTCTGGCTCCGTCCAGCTCGCGGCCGGAAGCGGCTATTTCGGACTGGGGTCTGGCGGAAGTGGGAAGTGGTGGGCTCGGCCGGCCGCCTGCGCGCGTGGCCTTGAGGCGACTTGGAGCCCCGGGGCTGTGCCTGGGGAGCTCAGTCGTACCCGGACGGCGCCGCAGGGGGCGGTGTCCGAGGGAGTGACCCCTGCCACATCCCTGTCCCCCTCCCTCGGGCTTGATCCAGCCCCTGGGGGCGGGCGCTGGGGCTCCACGTGGTGGGGAATAGCGGGGATGGCAGCTCAAGTGTTTTGAGCGCTTACAGCTTGGCAAGTCCTGTGTTCGTTCAGAGACCTACCTGCAGGTTCATTAATTTAATTCTGCAATTTTAATTCTTCGCCCCCGTTTTACAGACGCAGGAACGAAACTCACAAAATGTTTTGTGCCTGTAAGACGTGGGATAACAATGGGGCACAGTGGAGTGTAGGGGAAAGTGTATGGGACTTGCCTTTAACTAGAAATGGGCTTTGCACTGTACTAGTTCTGTGACTGAGTCCCGATCTGTGTAAGACCTTCTCAGGTTCCCCCGGGTCCAAACCAAAGCCTGTGAAGGACGGTCTCGTGGGAATAAACCGAAAGGCTTTATTTTCAGACAGCTGAAAACCTGTGCTGTGGTTCTGGGCTAATCAAGTAAACCAGGCACAGAAACTTGAGGGCGTGCAAAGACAGGATCAACTCCATAGCTGTGAGCTCTGGGAGTGTCTGAAACGCAACTGAGAGCTGTCACCACCCAGTTCAAGCTCCTAGTTTGAAGTCATGTGGAATTTACCCTGCAATGCTGGGGGTTTGCTGAGCATCACAGTACTTCCTCTTTGGTAAAATTGAGGCGATTTTTACTGCTAGGGCTGAAATTACAAAGCTAAGACACAGCCATCCTTAAGGAGCTCATGGTCTAGAGCAGGGGTCTGCTGGCCCTCCCTCTGCTTTTGTAAATAAAGTTTTATTGGAAGACAGTTCCACCTCTTTGTTATATGTCGTCTGGCTGCTTTTGCACTACACGGGCAGAGCTGAGTAGTTGCAGCAGAGATGGTGTGCCTCAAAAAACCTGAAATATTTACTGCCTGCTCCTTTACAGAAAACGTTTGCAAACCCCCAGTCTAGGGTGTTACTAGAAAATGGGTTTCAGACAACAATGGAAATATCTTACTGAGGTGGTCCAGAATACAGGGAAACTCATTCTCTCGTGGGGGAATGTAGCACCGTTCAGTGGATTGGGGTCACCTGGGACCTAGCATCTGCTGAGCACAGCTCTGGGAACTGCATAGCTGCCTCTGCAGAGTATTATGAAGCGTAAAGCAGTGTGGGCGAGCTGCTTCTGATGGCACTGGATGAATTCAAGAAAGAGAAGGATGCTCTTAAATCCTCAAGCTTTTGCCTCAGGGCACAGATGGTCTCAGGTGCTTTCTGTGCAGAAATAGCTAACAACAAACTCAGAGCCTGGTCCTCTCGGTTGTTGAATTACAGTGTTGTTTGAATGTAAGTCCTTGCTAGATGTGAAAGTGAGGGGCTCTCGAGTAACACTTCAAATCCTGGCTCCTCCACTTTTTAGCTGAGTGACTGAGCAAGAAGCTTACGTCGTCTGTGCCTCAGTTTCACCAGACAGTCCATTCTCATTACTCACGGTAGTTATGTTTAGTCAAGTCTCCTTGAAGACTGACTCAGTGAATACTGAACCATTACTCCTAGAGAAAAAATAAAGCCAATATTTCCGTTTGTGCACCACCCTTTGTTGTCATTACTTAGTAATCGAAGGTTCAATTTTATGCTCTGAACACAAAATTAAGGACATTAAAATTATGAGAATTTGTAGAATAAAAATGGGTAATTGGTGAGCGTGGGAATATAATTATATATGCATTACCCGATTGATCCTCCTGACCTGTCACTTATAATGTTCAGAAATATTAATTTGCTTTTTTTAGATATTTACTACGGATCGCTGGAAAAAAAACTCAGAGATTATGAAACCAGGCTGCTGTGGATTTACACTGAGGGTTTTTTTTCCATTTCAATTTTTTTAAAAGTATGTTTTTAATTTCAACGCATTTTAGGTTAATTTCCTGGAACTATTCAAAGGAATTGTATATAGTTTAAAAATCTTTCTGTTGAGGGTTATTATACACACAGAAATGT